AGCACATTTTTCAACCTTTCAGCCAAAATCTTAGCCACAAGTTTATAAAGCACTCCACCTAGACTAATAGGTCTATAGTTACACAGAGAATCAGGGTAAAGACACTTGGGAGTAAGAGTGATCACTGTTGTTGGTGGTATAGACCGAACGAGTGGTAACAAGGGCAAGCATGTGACAAATTTGTATGCACATGGAAAAGACGAATTGGACGCATCCGAGATTGGGCCACCGCCGAACGGATGGGAGTAAGCAAGTGAGATCTAATCTAATCATTACCCAAAGCCAGCCGTACTTTGCGCACTAAATGCAGAGATATACAAAAATCCCCTATCCGACGGTGAGGGAAAAGCGGGGACGCGTGGCACGATCTGGATGGATCACTGATATTGGAATTAGATTGTCAAGTACAATTAGCATTTAATGTGGAATGACTAATATCTAAAAATATCTTGTAGAAGGAAATGTAAAAATCCCCAAGAGGGAAATGTAAAGGTCCCTAAACTTCCTATATAAGGGAGGAGAGGACATCATTTAATGCAATGAGTAAATGCTCTCATTAACTATTTTATAAGTCACGGATAGCTTGAGCATTCGGATCCATAAGTTAGACTGAATCACACACATAAAAACTATTCGTGCAGACCGAACAGAGTACACATCACAGTGTGCAGTTCGAACACATTGTTGGTCATTTTTAGACGTCAACAATTGGCGCTAGAGGAAGGGCTATTCCAGAATGTCGAAAACAACATCATCATCGTCAAGCCAAAGTCGCCGCCGCGACACGCCGGAAGAAAGGGAAAACCGACACAACAACCAAACCACGAGGACGGACTACTCAGCCTTTTTCAAGGACCCGAATTTTGTGAAAGGAATATCAAACCTAATAACACAAATCCGACCCTCAACGTCTCAAGCACCCAAGACCCCGGCCAAAAAGGACCTTACCAACACTCTCAAAGGCAAGGGAACGGATGCTCATGAAGAAACCTCTCGATCGCGCGACAACACCATCGAAAGTACGAAGGAAAAATCCACCACCCGAACAGAAAACGAACAGATGGACGAAAGTCGCTCGGTCACAGACATTCGCACCCGTAACACTACCCGGTCGGTCTTCAAACGGCTGGGGAAGAATGTGGCTGATGACAATTTGAGGAAGACGTTGCTCAGAAAGCGAACGACCCAAGCCGAAGAAGAAAAAAATGAAAATTCTCCGAAGAAGAATAGCCGAACTTGAAGCTCGACGTTCGGCCCAAAAAATGACTTGCCTCCACCGGACAGGACCTGACAGAAGTTCCTCTCAAGCGAACCACGACCACCTCGAGGGCACGAACCGAGTTCAGCCCAGCCGAATTTGAATCACCCCTAACATTTGATGTTTTGCAGGAACGGTTGCCCGAGAAGATCAAGATCCCACAAATAGGATTTTACGATGGGACATCTGACCTAGACACTCACCTAGGACTGTACACATCGTGGATGGACCTACATGGAGCACCGGATGCCCTACGCTGTCGGATTTTCTCATTAACTCTGGGAGAAAAAGCACAAAGATGGTACAATTCGCTCGCCCCACATTCGGTCGCTAGGTGGTCACAATTGAAGTCAATGTTCCGGACACACTTTATCGGATCCCAAGCCTGTCGAATTCCCAAAGAATCGATCACTCACATCGTCCAAGGAGCGGACAAGAATTTGAAGGATTACATCACTCGTTTCAATGAATGGGTACAAAACATGGAGCCGTGCCACCAAGAGACCCTACTCGTTTCAGCATATTCGGGATTGAGACTGAACTCAATGTTCAAATGGACCCTTTGCCAAAACACCCCAGACGTACCATGATTTTCTGATGAAGGCTCAACAGCATATCATGGCGGAAGAATACATGTCCGCCCCGTCATTTCCGGCCGTGAATGAGCCACCCACCAAAGTGAAGGAGTCTCGACCGAACAAGGAGTTCACGAAGGACGGAAGAGTGCCCAATTCCGAGCCATGCAGAGGAAACATCATGAGGAGCTGACGAACAGCTATCAAGGAGTGT